GGAGCTCCCAGCCGGCCTTTGTCCGCGGCAGGCTTTTGGGGTTCAAATAGCCCTCACCTCTGACTCATTCTAGACCAAAAAAATTACCCTATAACTTCAGTCAAACTTCGGAAAGGCGGATCTACCAGAAGGGGAGGCCGGGTGGTGTGTGTGTGTGTGTGTGTGTGTGTGTGTGAGAGAGAGAGAGACAGACAGACAGACAGACAGACAGACAGACAGAGATTGGGGGGAGAGAAAGAGTTTTGGGGTGGGATGGGGAGAGAGAATGATCTTGAGGCTGGCGACTAAACCCATCCATAGCTGCAGGGACTTTTCTAACGTCCCTTCTCTGCTTTTTCGCCTTCTTTCTCCACTCGTTTTCTTGCTGCCAACAGAGAACTGGAAACAATGGGGATAGTGGTGGGGGCGGGGGTCCTATTAAGGACGTTGACAAATTTATATCGGTGACAAATGTGGGATAGATATAATGTTCCGCTCTTCTCCCCCTACGCCAAGAGCGAAGCTTTTTAGGCGGTGGAAAAAGGTCAGCGGACTGAAATGGATCATCATCATCTCGTTCAACTCCTGGGCGATCCCTTGAAGATCTTGCACCCTGGGTTTTCACTCTTTTGAAAGGGGAGATGTCACTGAATTGCAAGGCGAGGGGGGGGGCTTTTGATAGGACACGCACAACACACACACCTTTCCATTAGCACTAATAACAACAACATCAAAATTCACCAACGTGTCTCGGTGTTCTAACATCTCCCCAAGACCTGGGATTTTACAGGCCCATAATCTTAGGGTATTAATGACCAGGGGGGGAAAGGGGTCACCTTTCTCACACACACCCTCCCATTAAGACCATTCCCGAGTCCCCGCCCTTCCCAAACAACCCCCCAACCCTCTTTCTTGGGACGTCATTAAACTGGCTTCTCTCTTTTTCATCATTGTTTGAGGTGGGCCAAACCCATTTGTAAATTTCATGAGCCCCTGTAAACATGCAATCAGTGCGGGAGAAGGTGGCCCAGCTAATTCTGCCTCTTGGAGACCAAAAACGATGGGGGAATCTAAGGCATTCGTAAAGCGAAATGAAAGGTGCCCTTCTTATGTCACGGGGGGGGGGGCAGGACGGTGACATAGCTTCCCACGAAAGTACCAATGACGCCCCCAGACACATTGATTCTTCCCATATTGCACCTTTCCATATCACATCGATATATCACATTTGTGTGTGTGTGTGTGTGCGCAACACACCCCTATATATATCTATCTATACCTCTCTGTGTATACACACTTTCTTATATATACCTATATCTATATATACTCTTTTAAAATACACTATTTTTAAAAATGCACCAAAATGCAGACCCAATTTTCTGCCAATGATCTTTCAGTCTTTCTTCATAGGGCTTGGTTTCCACCTCCCTGATCTTCCCTGTTGCCCTTCTCTGAACTTGTTTCAATTTACTTGCATCCTTCTTGAAGTGCAGTGTTCAGAACTGGACACTTAATGAGGCCTAACCAGTGCTTTTTTTTTTCGCTCCCCGCTCCCCCCTGCTCTTACCGCCGCGAGGGAGGGAGGGAGGGAATCCACGCTGCTATTTTTGTTTGATTTAAATTAGCAATAAAGACGGAGAGCGCCCCAAAGGACGGCCCAGATCCGGGGTCACTTTGAAAATTCAAGAGGGGAGGGGACCCTATCAGGGAGAGAGTGTGAAAGAAAGAGGTAGAGGAAGAAGCAGGGAAAGTCCCGGAATTTTAAGTCTCGGAACGTCTTTTCAAACCAGGACTTCTTTTTTTTAAAAAAGACATCCATCATATACGTTGGGATAGCGATAGCGGCGCTTTACAGCTAGCCACTTATACGCATTAATTTGTAAGCGGCGTTCCCTCTCTCCTCTCTCCCCAGTCGGGGGAGGGGTGTGTGTGTGTGTGTGTGTTTCCAAAGTCTCGTCTTTCCAGCCCCAAAGAAGGTGTAACGAGGCGTCCTTCCTTCTAAGGAACGACGAGAGAGAGAGAGAGAGAGTCGTCTCCTACCTTAACATTTGGGTGGGGGCTCTTTCCTCCCCCCTCCCTTCCTTAAAGGCGAGGCTTCCTTGCCTCTCCTGCTTTGGAGAAAACACCCCCTCGGAATCTCTCTGTTTAAACTTAGAGTGTGCATTTATATAAATATATAGTAGATTAATTTAATTATTTTTTCTACTAGTCGTGCTATTGTCATTATTACTATTACTATTATTTTACTTCCTCCCTTCCTCTTCTCCAAGCCCTAAAACATAGGGCGCAAAACATAATTTTTTTAAAGACTGAGAAAAGTCTTATATATATTTTTATATATTTTTTTCCTTTTTCTTTCCACCCATCTTCTCTAAGCATCCCAACCGAAGCCTTCCAAGCTCTCTCTCTCTCGCTCGCTCTTTTTTTAAAAAAAAAAATCCAGTGTGCACAATCGCTTAGCTAAACACGAAGAGGATACTTCTTTTTTTTTTTTAAACTGCCTAAAAGAAGGGGTCCCTTTGGCCAGCATTAGTGCTCCTAAAAATAACGATAACCCCGCAGAGCCACTTTGCCACTCCAGAAGAAGATGCAAGCGATTTGGGATCTTGAGCAAGGCAAATATGCTTTGGGTATGTCTAAATTCTCTCTTTTTTTGAAAAAACAAACACCTCTTTCTCTGTGTGTTTCTCTCCCATCTGGTCTCTCTCCTCGCGCTCTCCTTGCGATGTGTTTGTGATCGTGCGCGCGTCGTTCTCTCTCTCTCTCTTTCTCCTGCAATCTTTATTTTATGTTGCTTATTTATTTCTGATTTTTTGCTTTGGCTTTTCCGCGAAGCCTGAGGTCCTCCGCGCGCTGCATGGGAAGTCAAGCCTCCACAGAGAAAGCCGGAAACTTTTCCTTCGGAAGTAAAACGCGCCTGAGGATCGGGGACGAGCCGGGAGGTTATGGAAGGAGGTCGGGAGGGTGGGGAAAGGGGGGTGGGTGCTTTCCACGCGTGGACCTCACATCAACTCTGCATGTGTGCGCGTGTGTGCGGGGGGTGCGCGCTCCCGTGGCTTGGCGGGGGGGAAAAGGTAAATATGTTTCGCTATGAAGCCTTCTGTAGCTGTGCTACCTCTCTTGGGCCCCCTCTCCCCCCAAATCCGGAGCAAACTCTGCGAGAATGTCTCTGATTTAGAAACAGTCAAACAACTTTAAAGCTGCCTCTCCCCCCCCCCCACTTGGTCTGGGTTACCAGGGAGGACATCCTGAAGAAAACAGTTCCCCATGGCTGGGGGGGGAAGGAGAAAACTCCCGGGGTGTGCAGCCACGTGCGTGTCGGGTCGTTGGTTGGCTTTCTGGCTTTTCTTTTGCAGAACCGAGTTCCGTGTCTAGTCACTCTCTCCCCCCCATCCCCCACGCCAACATCACTCTATCCCTTCTCTTTCGGATTTATGTTGGATGAGAAAAATCCGTGTACTCACCACAGCCAAGGAGGGTCCGCTGCCAGTCCAGTTGCTGGGGGGTGCTAAGTTTCATGTGCTCCTTTTTCATTGTTGGCATGGGTGTATGTGTGCGTGCGTGTGCGCGCGTGTGCTTCGGAGGCATCCCCACGGAAGCCACTTTTTAAAAAAATTAAAATTGAAAAAAAAAAGTGGCGTGGAAAAGCGAGAGGCTTTCGGCGGTCAGAACGACACACACACACAAACACACACACAACACACACGTGCTCTCTCTCTCACACACACACACGCGCGCGCGCGAACGTGCGCGCAGACAAGCCGGAGAGAGGCGGGGGGGTGCAACCCCCTCGCACACCCCTTTCGCCCTGCTTTTACACTCGCGCGCGCACACACGCACACGCGTGCACACAACCGCAACGCTAAGTTCTCCCCCACACCATCCAAAAAAAAAAAATCCACAAAAAAAAAACTTTAGGGAATCTCGCTGGCGCCTGGGCAAATCCGGAGCCCACGAGAAGCCAGCTCCTTAATTGGCAATCCGGAGGAATTAATCAGATTAAAAACGTACAGAAGTTTCGGGGCTGCCCCCACTCCCAACTCCTTCCCCNTCCCTACGGCCCCCCCCCCCGCCGCCATTCCCTTTAAGAACTGCGTTTCTTTTGAAAGGCGAATATTTGAGGCCGCCGAAAGACTGCCGCTAGGGGGCAGAAGCATACTGTACTTCTGGAGTCTGCCAGCCGCGACTCCCCCCCTCCACACACACATACACATACACACACAGACACACACACACACACACACAGAGTTCCAGCCACTCACTCTCCTCCCTCCCCCCCACCTCCCTTTCTCCTAGCATATGTTCTAATTTAACACTGTAAATTTTTCAGAGGGCCCAACTCTGACAGCCCCTGGTGATTTTCAAAGTACCACAAGCCAGTGGTTAAAAATTACATTGACTTGGAAGTTCAGAGTCACACAATGAGGGACGCTTTCTCCTATTCATAGCTCTTCGGATGGAGCTGGGAGGCAGAAAGGGGGGGGGGAGAAAGAGAGAGACCAGCAAGATAGAGAAGACTCATAGAGTTTTCCTGATTTAACCCAACGCTTTCCCCCTTAGTAATCTCGCTTCACTGGGTCGCTTAAAGAACTATGCTTATGTATATTTGTTCAATAAACTATCCCCACCTCCCGGTTTTTAGCAACAAAGAGGGGTGGGGGGCGCACGGCAGTATGTAATATTTCCATTTCCTTTGCTCTTTTTCCCCACCTTTAAGAATTATCCCCTTTCTTTTCTTTTTCCCCCCAACTTGCTTTGAGCGTCGAAAGACACACACCCCCGCGCCGTCATCCACCTGCCTGCGGACACCGAAAGGTGGACGGAACTCAGCGCCACCAAAAAGTGGCCGGATGGAGCCCTTCTTCTGATAAAGCAAGAAATAACCCCCATTTCTTCTCGTCGCTCCGACTCTTTAAAAGGACAGTTATTGATGAGTCAGTTGGCGAAGCAACCTCTCGAAGCGGTTCTGTGGAATTGTGCAATGTTCGTATGCACACAAACATTGCACAATTGCACGCGCGCCCCTGCACACACAGACACTGCTAGCCAGTCCAGCTGGGCACTCGCCAATTCCGGTCCTTTGGACGCACCACTGTTATTAAGCCTTAAATCCTCTCTGCCTTCTCTACTGTCGCCTTACCTATGTTTGGTTTACGGCTTGGGTAATTTGCCCGCCGGTCAGCGGACGGGGAGGTGTATTTTCAGCTCTCGGGGTTGTACCGGGAAAGCGACTCACCGGCCGCCTCTCCTCCCGGATCTTTTTTAAGAACCCGCATCTTTTTATTCCGCAAAAAGATGCCAGGAGGGGGTCTCGCCTTGCTGGCAGGTTGCGAAGGGGATTTCTCGAAATGAGAGGAGAAGGGGAAAGCCAGCCTGCCCGTACAGGCTTGCGATCACTCCCAGGGATCTCTCGCTCCTATGTATCCCGCAACAAATGTCGTGTCCCCCCACCCAAAATTTCCCATGTAGGGCACTGTAAGCCATTAAGGAGTTGGTTTTCTCCAATCCTAAGGGGTCCGTTGTTCCCAGGATCTGCTCCATCGCAGGAGGCATCTTCGCCTGCTTCCAGGCGCCGAGGTGCTTCTGATCAATAGAATATCCCTTATGCACTTTGAAATGGAGCAGGAAACACACACACCCCTTCAGCTTCGCGACCGGGCCTCTGACCAGCCCAGTCCGTGTTACAACCTCGTCGCCTTTCGTTCTTAGCACTTGCGAAGCTTTGACCCGTGGGCATTTATTTTATAGATATATATGTGTCTCTGTGTGCGTCCCTTAGCAGAAAAGGGGCGAGGAAGTGGATGGAACAACTTGATCGCCTTCGGCTCATTGAAAGGGTGGCAACGGGTAATGATCCAGAACCGTGGCTCTGTGGCTTGTTTGGCTGCCTGATTCCCCTTTATAATGCGGCTCCAGGACTGTCCGTGTATGTAGTCCCATGTATATTATCGCAGAAGTTGTGATTGTTTTTTTTTCTTTTTTTTAAAAAAAAGACAGACACATAACACAACTTTAGGCATGTATATATAAAATGCATATTTGTGTGTGTAAATATGCATTATATATATAATGTGAGTGTATGTATGTATATACATACACACACACACAAATATATATATATTTCTGTTGTGTATCTGTGTGTATGTTCCGCCCGATTCCACCCGCTGGTACAAAACACAGGGTTTTTTTTAAATACACAGGCGCGTTTTCAAAGCGAAATCTGGGGAGTGCGGGCGTTTGTGCGATGGATTCGAGTTTTCAGCCTCTTTCTAGGCAGCGATTCACTCTTGGGTTCGTCTGGCCGAGCCAAGGTATTTCTCCAGGACCGTCCTTTGCTGTTTGAGGTCGATTAGGGTTTGCCAGAGCCAAGAATTGAAGGTGTGGGTCGGCTTTCTTCCCTTGACAGGCGGTGACTTGAGTGTTTAACCTCATATAAGACTCTAGAATTAAATCAAGGCGCGGGGAGGGTGAGACCGGCTTCATCAGGGGTGGGTGTTCGGTTCTGTTTTTAAAAATACTTTCTCCCCCCCGTTTCCTCTCAGCGGAAAGGAAACGCGCATCTTTAAAGGGAAGGAAATAACTTCGAAGCCTGCCTTTCCCATGGACAAAAAAAAAAAAAAATAGAAGAAGGTGCAAATGTATTTTCTGTGTTTGATTCAATGCCACCATTTCTCTCCTTCCCTTTGCTATCATCGCCTGGCTGCTCAGAAGGCATCTGGCGAAGATGTGTTCCCCATTTAGGAGCACACGTAGGAAACAAGACGCGGTGTCTATGTGCCTGCATTTGTATGCTAATTCCTCCCTCGTTTCTGTTTGGGTCTTGCGAGAAAAAGTGTAATGGGTTCTTGGAAAGCCGGCGACTTCAGGAAACAATGAAGTCCACGGTTTTACTATTCTGAGGTCAGACACCAGATCCTCTGATGTTCTGCGCGCCCCAGTACATTGATAGATGTCTATCTAATGTATGTGTCAGGCAGCCTTCAAAAGAGCCCTCGGCGCATCTGAAACCCTAGCCGTAGCGCCAGCCTTCCCCAGAGTAAGCGTGAGACTTTCTTGTCCAGAAACAGAACTCAGTTTGCTCCTTAAGAATCCCAATTTTAACTGCACCCCCCGCCCGGTTCACGCACAGCCACATTAAACTGTGGGAGCAAAGTTAGCCTCCCCAGGCTTGGTAGCTACAAGATCAGGGTGACCAGGTCAGAAGGTCTGTCGCTTGCTTCTTTCTGTTAAGGTGGGGAGTGCTTATCTTTTTTAAAAATAATAATAATAAATCTCAAATCCTGTAAGAATTGAGCAGGCTGTCTGGCAATTAAAAGTTCAGCGCCTATACATACATACATACATACATACATACATACATACATACATACATACATACATACATACATACATACATACATACATACATACATACATACATACACCTAATACTATATATATACTGTATACCTGTAGCACATTGGCAGTGCGTAAAATATTGAGCGTGGCCCCTTATTTAAGCCAAGGTTGCTACAGACCCCCTTTCAGGCCACTGCTTCTCAGAGGAGATTACCCTTCATCATCATAACAGAATACTTAGCCAACCAACAACTTGTGTAACAGTGGTAGGAAGGAAGATCGGGGAAATGCACCATCAGGGCAGCCAGGAAAGAGTCCAGAAAATCCCTTTTTCTCACCCAAAAACTGCTCAGCATCCTTGATTTAAAACAAATAGGGTCCCTTCTCTCTTGTCCCCCCCCCAAAAAAAAACAACAACCACAGCACCCAGCTCTATGCATTTACACGTGCGCGCACCGATTCACACCACAACACCGCTTAGAAAACTCAGATTCCTTTCTCAAAGGGGATGGGAAGGGAGAAAAGCTGTCGTCGTAAATAAAACAATTAGAATAAGTACATTTTTTTTAAAAAAAATAAATATA